TGGCAGGGGTAGCAAAGTGATGTCCCCAAAAGCCAGGCTTCCTAGTTAGCTGGCCCTAGACAGGGCCTCCAGTTCTGTTTTGGTGGAGGGGTACTCAGCCTCTGCAGTCCCTGGTTGGCTCTGTCCCCTCTCTCCTCCCTCTCCCCAGCTTACCTGATCTTTTCCCCAGCGTTCACTTTGAAGTCCAGCCAGCCTAGAACTCAGTAGCGCAGGTTCGTCTCCAACTCATGACAATCCTCCTGCCTCAGCCTCTGGAGCACTGGGACTATAGGGGTGCAGCACCACACAGGGCTCCCCCTGTGGCACTTAGTCCTGGCATCCCACTTCAGGGTGCAGCAGCTGAAGGAATAGCCCCTGCAACCACTGATGACTTCATGGAACCACTGAGCTTAGGGTCACTGGTGCCACCAGCTTTGGCCTTTTTTCTCTGCATTATAATTCAAGACCAGAGCAGCACGGAGACAGAAGAACCCCACCCCCACCCCGACACCCACCCGGGGCTGGGTGCCCTCCTTCCTGGCCAGGCCAGCTCTGGGGGTTGTGTGTGGTTTTACTCAAGCCATAGTCTAGCGATGACTGTGCTTTTGGTCGTAGCCTGATTAATGTCCCAAAGGTCTGACTCAGACCCACACTGAGGACATGACACATGTGGCTGCCTGGTTGGCACTTGGGACGCTCCCCTCCCATTCCCTTGCCAACACGCCGCCTCCTGGGTGGTCGGCCCCAGTGCAGGGAAGGTGGAGTTCTGGTCTACCACAGCCTTTCTTTCTGGCCCGGCCCAGCTTGGCCTGCCAGATTCAGGCACAGCCCTGCCGACAGTGTATGCCCATCCCTATCTACGAGGTCCTCTGGCTACTGTGACTGACTGGGGCCACCTCTCATCCCTTCTGCCACTAGACTGAGCACAGCCACAACGGCCTGTTCACTTGCCTGTGGCCCTTGATGCCTTGTGACCTCCTGCCCAGGTCTAACTCATGCGCAGCTCCGAAAAGCTCCAAAACTGGGTGGCTGTGGAAAGAAGCCACATATGGCCTCCCTAAGCCCTAGGCCATAAGCCATTGCCTTGAATCAGGGCCTCCCAGCTTTTGCGGGGAGGGATGGCCTCCCGTTCCCATCTTTGTCTGGCCAGGTGGGGAAGAGGACTTTGTTAGAATGATCCCATTTCTCTATGGGGCAACATATTTTCTCTTTCCCACCATTGTTCTTTTAATGCATAAAATCCCCCCAGTTAATACTACAAAGTAATAGCTCCCCGAGTGAGCACTTCTGCAGGCGTCAGATGTCAGGCAGCCTCTCAGTCTCTCTCGCAGAGATGAGAAAGCCAGTGCCACCCACTTTCCACGACACTTGAATTAAACCCATATGCAGCGGTGGCCACGTGGCAGAAACCTGGGAGTTGCTTTTAAAATTTCTGAAGACTCGAGAACGTTACTCATCACCTCAAAGCTGTGTGGGTCCGGTGGGAGAGGGGGGTGAGTGATGGGTGGAAATTCCCCTCGTCACTGCTTTGAGTCTGAACCAGGCCTTCTCACTTCTGCAACACTGCTTCTGCATGTTCAGATCATTCCCCACTGAAAGTCACCGTCACCATCGCAAGAGATCAGTGAGCGCTTTCCTAGGACTTGGTTATGATGAGTACCAGCCACATTGGCTTAATTAGCTGCAAAGGATGCACTGCTGAGGTGTTACGTGCGGGCTGCTGGGTTAGCTAAGGACTTGGCAGGGACGCTCACACCTTACTTACGCTGCAGCTGCCATATGCCTTGCTCGACATTCTTCTCTTTGTGCTTCTTTCCCAGTAGACTATAACCTCAGAAATGAGAGGCCTTGTCTATTTTAATATATCCATAAGGCATAGCACAGTGCCTGACATGTGGTAGACACCTAATAAATACTTGATGAGTGGATAGAAGCGTAAGTCATGGATAGATAGATGAATGATTGGAAGGGTGGATGGATGGATGACTAGATGGATGGATGGAAGGTGACTGGGTGGATGAATGGATGGTCAGAGCTGAGTGTACTCATGCTGTGGTCACAAGTATTAATACTGTGGTTTACATGCATTTTCCACAGGAAACATAGCAGGAGTAGAATGTTGACTGTAGAGAAACACTGCAGGACTGTAGGGAGATGGGCCTTGCTCTAATTTAGTTGAAGAAGCCTCATGAGTGATTTTTAAGACATCTCCTAGACTAACGATCATATTTTCCTTGTTAAATTCCTTCTCTTTTGGCCCTTTATTCAGGGAATTTTCATTTCTGACATTTTCTTCTGCCTTATTTCATTCTAGGCTTACTTTTCAGTTTATTTATGTTTGCTGTTGTTTTGTTGATATCATATCCCAGAGTGCAGGGTGAGAGGCTGTTTGTAAATTTTACCCGGAGAAACTCCATCACTGTCACCTACCTAGCCAAAATATTGTTGGTCATGACGTGCTGGGTTGGGCTTTCATAACAAAAGGCCACAGCCAAGGGGGTTCAACGATAGGAACTTACATCTTTGTGATCGTGGGTGTGGAAGGTCAAGGTGCCCACAGGTGCAGGCCCTTCTGGGCTTCTGGGTCCTTCTCTCTGGGTTCTCACATGGCCTTTGTTGCAGAGACAGGGAGAGGAGGGAAGAGGAGGAGGAGGATTAAGGCTCATTTGATTTTACTATCTCACTTGATTTTCATTCTTCTTTAAAAACCTAGTGTCCATGGCAGAGATATAGCTCAGCAGCATAAACAACTACCTGGCAAGAACAGCTCCTGAGTTCAATTTCCAGTACCAGAAAAAAAGAAAAAGAAAAATCTAATCTTTAAATATAGTGACATTAAAGACCAGGGCTTTAATATATGTAATTGGTGACAGGCATGGAGCATAGTTCATAATATATGACAGTCAGAGTAGCTAAGACTCTTCAAAACTTTTTTTTAAATACAAGATTTTAACAAGAAATCACCTGCCAGATGTGGTGGCACACACTTGTAATCCTAACACTCGGGAGGCTGAAGCAGGAGGATCCTTGTGAGTTTGAGACCAGCCTGGGTGACAAAGTGAACTCAAGGCCAGCCTAAAGTGCACAGCCAGACCCTGTCTCAAAAAGACCAAAAAAAAAGCAAAGAAATCACCTTAAACATTTTTGGAACTAATTACTGCTAAGGATTCATAATCAACATAGGCCCTTCAATGACTGTATTCCTCCAGTAGCTAAGCTCCTTGCAGAGAAGCTTGCGAGTAGGCAGTGATGTTTTCATTCTGCGAGCTGAGGTCCAGTTCTGTGGCTAATTCCGCGGCCTCCTTTTCTGCTGGCCCCCTGTGAGTTCCAGCCTCCGCCTTTCAGGCACTGTGTCTCCTACTCGTTTCTTCCCCCAGACACTGAGGAGCTCTGCATGCGGCTTCTTCACAGCCGCCTCGGTTTCTGAGCCGAGCTTTCTCCCGCTGGAGGATGAACAATCGGACAGCACTGGCCGCGCTGTTTTCCTGTCCACCCCACTCCGCCGACTCACTTCACACCAGTTCTCAGGTCTTCATCGCCACTGTCGCTGTGTGGTCTCCCTTGGCACTCTGTACTCTGCTCTGCGCCTTCAAATGAACCCCCAGAAGCACATCCGAAGTCACCTCCAGAATCAAAGCACTTTCATCCATTTCTTGGGAGAGATCCAAGAAATAATAATAATCTGGTGCTTTGCCTTTGTTGTTTGTGACACAAAGTCCTTTCATTCTCCACCAATTTCTTAAATCTTCATTCTCCTTGTGCTATCAGTGCCAGGTCTCCTGCAGCTCCTGGAGGAGCTCACTCAAGAGTTTGGCCACTGCCACCAAAGCAGGTCCCCTGCTTTCTGCCTGTGCCCACTGCGGCGGCAGAAGGCCTGGCCAGGCCCCGAGAAACCTCTCCAGATGCTTCACCCTCTCACACTGCTGTTGCCTGCGGGCGGGGTCCATGCCTGTGTCCTCCCAGGCTTCAAGGGTCTGAAGTCAAATCTCTTTTGATGACAACTTTTATTAGAAGGTGAAGAGGGTCTCTGTAGTAGGGCTGGATGTAGACTCTGAATCTGTGTGCCTCGTTTGGAAGTAGGTGAAAACACTAATCACGTGGGTGGCAAATATTCTCCCTGGCTTGCCGTGACTTGGGTCAGAGAATAGATGGACAAAGACCTTCGGAGGAGAGCTGTGGGGCTTTCGGAGGGCTAGATGTGGTGTCAGAGCTTCCTGTGTGAGAAGAAAGTCAGTCCCCAGCCCCCTCCCTTCCAGTGACGCCTGCTTCTGGAAGCTGAGTGACAGCCACCACCTTCCTCCTTTCTGACACCATCAAACATAGAGACATGTGTGTGCCTGGCACAGATGGAGATGCCAGAGTCACACCTGCCTCGACTGAGTCACAGTCCTCGGGCTTGCTAGGAAAGCTGGGCAGGAGACACTCCACACCCCTGGCATCACAAGTACAAGGGGAGTCTCCAGGCTCTCGGTTTCTCAAACACCCAGCATTAAAGAGAAATCGTGCCACACGCATGGACAGGACCAAATGTGTTCCCCGTTATGTGCCGACGTCTCCACCACAACACACAAATCCAAGCCCTGGTGAGTGGTGCCTGCTGGTCCACCGTTCATCACCAGTTTCTTCCTTCTGAGAAGGTGCTGGGCTGCGTCCGCTGCCTCAGAGGAAAGTATCGATTCTGATCACTTAAAGAGGGCTGAAGTCAGAAAGTAGTAAGATTTCGTTTCCCTGATGATTTTTCTTTTCCCACAGAAGCAGGTGGTACTCTGGATGATATCATATCTTTGCTTCCAAAAGGAACAACCTTTAAAAATAAAGACAGGCTTATCCCAGTTACAGAAATGGGTTTTGAAAAACTCCAAACACGCACTCTCCCCCCTCATGGCTATGAGCGTGGAGGAGGACTTTGCAATAAAACTCATGCCCCAAACCAACAACTTCACTGCAAAAGAAATCCCATGTCTGTGCCCAGAGACAGATGTCTGACTAACATTACCCCTCTGTTCTCTGCCCTTCCACAGTGGAGATGTTGCCTTTGAAAGATCTGTTGATTATAACATCATCCAACAAGAAAGAACTGTGAGTATTGAATGTTATGCTATGACAGAACAATGTTTGTTAATTACTTAACTGCACCCCCACTTGATCTTGATTGCTGGGTGTTACCTGGGCAGGAAGCACTGCTTGGGGATAGATGTGGTCCCTGTCCTCGAGGACCATGCCATCTAGCTGCATGTAAGGCATTTAACTGGATTCTAAGGATTTCCAAGGACCTTAGGGAGAGACAGACTTTGTGGGAGGGAGGTAAGAAGCCCAGATCATGAGGGCTGTGGATGCCGGGTGGGGGAATGTGGACTTGACTCGGGAGACTGCCTTGACACCACTAAGGTATATTCAGAAAGAAAACTGCAACATACATTGGCTGGCACCCACTCGGGACTCCTCCTATCTCTCTTAGACAAAAGCTTTCTTTCCCCAGTCAATATATTCTGTTCTTAACCTTAAAAAACACATTGGCTTTGGAGATGCCAATTCTGAGAGCGGTGTGTTCACGGAGGCAGGAAGTACCAGTGGGCCCAGGAGACTGACAGAGTAACCGAAGAGCTAGAAGGAGCCCCAACTAGTGTCCTCAGGGCTGACACAGTGTGTGGCACCAGTCAACTTTCCAGTATTGTAACAGAACACCTGAGACAACTTTAAGAGAAGAAAGGTTGTCGGGCATGGCGGTGGATTCCTGTAATGCCAGCATTTGGAAACTGAGGCAGGAGGTTTGCAAGTTTGAGCCCAGCCTGGGTAACTTACGAGACCCTATTTCATTTTTTAAAAATTCATAAAAGGACTGGGAATGCAGTTAAGTGGGAAATCCTTAGGTTAACTCCCCGGCACACACACAAAAAAATGGAATGAAAAAAAATGGAAGAGAAAAAGGAAGAGAAAGAAGAAGGAGAAGAAAGAGGACGAAAAAGAAAAAAGAGCAAAGATTTCTATCGGTTCACTATTTGGAAGTTCAGTCTGTGACCAGCTGCCTGTTTGCTTCTGGACTCGACCATCATGGTGGGCAGTGAGTGGCGCAGCAAAGCTCTTTTCCTCATGGCTGGGATAGGAAAAAAATGGAAGAGGAAGACACCAGGTCCACCAATCCCCTTTGTGGACACACCCCCAAAAGCCTTGAGAGCCTCCCGCCAGGCTCCGCCTCTTAAAGGTCCACATCCTCCCAACAGCACCACAGGCTGGGTCCCAGTTTAACACACAGGCCTCCAGGGACCACCTAACATCCAAAGTGTGGCATGTATAGTCCCTGGAGACTACATACACTCAGACTTTAGCAGCTCTGTGCCAAGCTTTTACTTTAGATTTCTGATTGTGTTGCAAAGAAACTATTTCAGTTTGTGGCCCCTAATTCTTCCCCTAGGGCGTGAGGTAGCTTCGTGGTGGAGCGCATCTTAGCAGGTGCAAGGCCTGGGTTCAATCTCCAGCACCGAAAGATTAAAGTTAAAACTGGAACTAATACAGACTTTGTTTTCGAAAGGCCAGTTCCTTCTGGTGTGTAATGAAAAGCTTATGCCTGTAAGGGATTTCTATGGAAGAAGAGACACAAGGGAATGGATTCCAGGAACTCATGAATTGGCTTTTCATGATGTCTTGTGTAACATGCTTTATATGCTCCCTGTGCTCCTTTCTTGAATTTCTCTGCCCTACTCTGCCAGGTGACTTCAGGAGCAGGCAAAGGCAGATGTGCTTGTCACATGGCAAGGGAAGGGTTTCCGTACACTGGGGCAGAGCTCAGTCTCTCTGGGGCTACAACTCCCAGCTTGAGTGTGCCCAGCCTGGAAGCTTATGTGGTCCAGATTCCGGGCCTTCTCTGGGGTGGATGTTTCCACACATGGGGTGCAGTTTAGCATGAGAAGCCAGCCCAGAGCTGGCATCAGGGGTTCTTTGGGTCTTCTTTATCAGAGTGCTGTGGTCAGGCTGGAAGGCACAAGGAATGAGCCACCCTTCCTGGTCCCTGAGAAGTGCCAGCCCTCAGACTGTGTGGCATCCAGCGGGCCTACACACACTTTCCCAGGGAGAGGGCTCGTGGCTGGCACAGACTCTGAGTGGGCCCAGGACCACCAAAGAGTCCAGAGGTAGAGGCTGACAAGCACCATCCCATGTCCCCACCCGGGTCCTCAAGGGCTGCTGAGGGCCCCAGAGAGGAGGTAGAGCTCTCTGCAGCCTGTTCCTTGGCTTTGTAGCACTCTGCAAGGCAGTGGCTGAGCAGCTCCCATCCCTGAGGCACACTTTATGGATGGACCACTCCAGCTTGTGACAGTGATTTGTGAGGCTTTGATTATGGGCCGAGAGAGCTGAGAATGGGAGGAGTGACATTGGTGCCCCTGTGTGGAGTCACAGGGAGATCTTTGCACTGGTAAGAAAGAAGCAAGTCCCAGTTCCCATGGCAGATGGCGCAGCCAGATGTCCAATCTGTGGGGATCATTTCATCCTACTTTATCTTATAGAAGTTATTCAGAAGGCCAGAGCAGAACTAGCTCCCCACATTTGGGAGATGGAGGCAGGAGGATCACTGTGAGTTCCACACCATTTCTGGGCTACATAGTGAGTTCAAGGTCCCAAGGACCTTGGACTACATAGAGAAACTTTGTCTCAAAAATAAACAACAAACAAAAGAAGGCTAAGAGAACCCTGAAGAAATCATTTCAAATAAAATCATAATCCTTCAGGCTGGGACAGTCACGAGTTCCCTTGCTCAGAAGGGCCAGCAGTGTGGGTGACACCGGGAGGAATGGGAAATGTCCTTTTTTTTCCTGTGGCTTTCTGTGATTTGTAATCTTACAGCAGTCTGTGCTTCTCATTTCTCTCATCGGTTCTGCCCCTGAGATTTTTGATACAAGAGACCATGTTTTATGATCTAGACAGGGTGTGGTTTTATTTCCAGAAGTAACGGTTGTCTGCACAAAGGTTGCAGGACCCTGTCTATGGCACTGGCTTATTCATATAGATCATATTTGTGTTGGACATGGCTATTCATAATGACCGGAGGACACCATCCTAGGAGAAATCCGTTTGGATCACACCTTAGGTCCTGGCGGTCAGAGTTCATGGAGTGATGTAGAAAAAGGTGACCACCCCGAGCCTGAACTATGAGCAGAAAGTTGCTGGAATCAGTCATGCAGCTAAGATGGCGTGAATTTGGCACAGCAATGTGGTTGTGACATGGTTTATCTGCCAGGAAATGCATTTATTTTAAAGAAATAATCCACTGTGTACATTTTTTCTAGTGTGAAAGTAATTTACCACTGAAGACTAGTCCGGCCTGCCTTCCTTTATCTGAAATCAGAAGATGTCTGCTTTGGGAGCAAGAACTGGCAAAGAAATACTCCTACACAATGGTAGGTTTGTGATCTCAGCTACTCGGGAGGCTGAGGCAGAAGGATTACAAGCTTGAGGCCAGCCAGAGCTACTCAGCAAGTCTGCCTCAAAATAAAATTAAAAAGCGCTGGGGTGCGGGGTGGTGGGAGAGTGCCTGCCCAGTGTGCAGCAGGCCCTGGGTTCTTCCTCAGTCCCCACACACGAAGAAGGCAGGTTCATGTCATGGAGGAGCTACCTTTTCACGCCACGTGATATGTAGAGCAGAAAATGCCTTATTTTGCCTGTGGTCACGGTCGTGTCACGGGGGTGATATCTATCTCCTCCTGGACCCGTGAGGACCAACATGCCCTGCTGCCCGGGTCTTGGAGGTGGCAGCACATTCAGCCTGTCCCTCGCACCCTGCGTGAAGGCCCACGTGGGACTGCAGTGAGGCCTCCCCGTGATAAAGCAGGGGACAGAGGCACAGATTTCCTAGAAACGGTGGCTGGGAAATACAGGGGGTGGGGGTTTCGGTTTAGGGACCAAGTTGGGGGCCTTTGTAGTAGTGAAACAAACCTGGAAATGTATGAGTTAAACATGAAGCACAACAACCCGACCTCTAGCTCCGGAAGGTTCTCTTTGCTGGGTGAAAAGAGACACCCGCAGCCCCACAGCTGTCCTGCCAGAGGCGCTGGGAGCAGAGACCCTTCAAGCTGCAGCGGGCTCAGAGGACCAGCCCAGCCACTTTCCGTCTGTTTTCTAGATGGCCCTGCTTGCTGAGGAATACTGCGGCTACTGTCGAGACATTTTGCAAAATGTGAGGAACCAAGAACTCGAGAGGGTAGGTTCTTACCTCCTAAAGACCCGAGTCTGTGCCTGGCTGTGAACCATCTCGCTGGATGGGACCCCTCCGGGATAGCTGGGGTACACTTGGCTCAAAAGGCAGCCAGGGGCTCTGGAAGGTGGGGCTGACACGAGATTCAAGCCTTGGGAGAAAATCCAGGGTGCGAAGAGCGGATAGCTTCGCGCTTTAAGCACAAATTCAGCCCTTTTTACTTTTAGAACTTAATGCCTGCTGAATGTGAATTAAATACTGGTAGTAATAGTCATTCTGGAATCGTTAGCAATGCCAAAGAACTGATAGGCACCAGTGAAAAGGCAAGCAGGACTCTGAAGCGGGCAATCTGAAATGGGACTTAGAGATTTTATTCCAGAACTGACGGTCGCACGTGACTCAGTTCTGGAATGAGCTCAGAATCCGCTTAGTACTTGTTTAACATCTGCAGGGCCCTGGGTTCAATCCCAAAACAAGAACTGCCCACCCACATTCGGGTCTACAGTCCTGCTTGCGTCGTCCACTCATCCCCTCACCAAACACTTTGCAACCAGCTCACTCTCTGGGACTAGGAAAGTATTCTCCACAGGACTTGAAAAATGTACACTCTGGTAATAAAAGGAGCAGATCGGCCAGGAAATGAGACAATGCAGGAATTTCTAAAATCGCTGTTTATCATTTGCTTCTACTGTGACAACAAAATACCCAAGACAGTCGGTCTAAGAGAAAAGGCTGGGTTGCCTCCAGTTTGTGGAGGTTTCAGTCCCTACTAGGTAGAAACTTGTCACTTTAGTAGAAACGCTGGACATCACAGCAGGAAGCATATGGGGTGGACTGTTTCCCACGGCCTGGAAGCTAAGAGAAATGAGGAGAGGCCTTTGAGGGCACAGCTTCAATGACAGGAAGGCCTCCCACTGGGCTGCATCTCTCAAAAGGCCCAGCACCTCCCAGTAGAACCATGGGCTTGGGACAAAACCTGCAATCTGCAGCCTGCCTTTTTTCCCTCAAGGGATTGTCTTGGGCCACCTATGAGATGTGTAACATAGCTAAGGTATGTAAATAATAAAACTTCATTTGAAAATACTTTTATTAGAACATTTTAAACAAGAGAGAAGAGAAAGGAAGGAAGAGGAGGAAAAGAGAGGGAAAAGAAGGAAAAAGAAAAGAAGAGAAAGGAAAACAGAAAAGCAAACACATGTGCCTTTAGGATAGTACAAAAGCAAACTGTAGCAGTTACTATAACAAAATAGCAGATGTAGGCTATTTTATAAAGAAAAGAGGTTTATTTGGGCTCACAGGTCTGAAGGTACAATTGCTGGCCACCCAAGGTGGCACAGAGCATTACACAGCAAGGGAGGGACAAGGAACATTGTGTGTGTGTGTGTGTGTGTGTGTGTGTGTGTGTGTGTTTCTAATACATCCACCAGCACTCTGGTGACCTTATCCAATCCCAATAACTTCCTGAATTCGTCACTTTCCCATCACTGGGACAAATTATCCAACATCTATAATTTAAAGGAAGACAAGTTTACTTGGCTTATAGCTTCTGGGGTTTCAGTCCATGATCTGCCAGCTCCAAGTCATGAACATCATGGTGGAAGGGCGTGCATGGCGGTCAAGAAACAGAAAGAGAAAGGAGCAGCCAGGGCCAAGAATAAACCTTCCCAGATCACAGCCCCATGACAGCCTCGAAGCAGGCCCCACCACCTGACACCACATTCAGCTGGGAGCTGCTTAATGGACAAACTGACTGAGGATTGTAGCACCTCATGATCCAGTTACTTACCAGTGCACAGGAGGCTTTACAGGGACACTCAGTATCTAAGCCATGCACTTCCCAAAGGTCCACTGCTAGCATCACATTCCTGCCCCTCACTATGTCACAGTATGTCTGAGCTCAGTGGGGGCTACATCAAATTCAAACCACAGCAAGCTATAGGTTAGGACATCTTGGGGGCCTCAGAAGAGTGCCAGAGAAGGCTGGAGAGCTCCCCCAGAGCAGGCCCAGTAGCTGCCACACCCAACAAGAAAAGCAGAGGTTCAAGGGACAGGAAATGGGGTAGGAACAGGCTTCCAGATAGGGCCTGTGATGTGGGCCAAGACAACAGGATGTTCTCAGGCTTGACGTGACAGGATGGGCCTCAGTTTATCTCTAAGGGAAAGAAGCCAAAGAGACACAGGGCAGGCAGGCGGCTGCTAGCAAGGGCTTCATAAACCCCACAAAGATTTCTGATTTATTCTGAGAGTCCAGAGCACTGACATGGGTCTGGGCACGTCAGGAGGTTTTGCTCCGGTCCAGGTGAGAAGCGGGGAGGCTCAGTCTGGGGCACTGGCAGAGAGGAGAGAGGGGGCAGATTAGAGGACATTTCTAAGTAGGATCTGCTGACACTGCACCTGGTGGTGAGGTTGCTCTCCACGCTGAGACCCACTGACTTCACAGCACCAGGCACCAAAGTTACCAACCTGAGAGGAACAGGCTCCTGCACCCTGCGCTTCATTTCTCTCTAAGTCTCTTTGGCGACATATTCTCTAGAATTGATAACCTTAACCATAGGACCCTAACACCATGACCTCAAGGGCCAATGTTCACTTCCTTGAGGGCCTACACATGGGAATGGTGCCTTCCAGGCATCACTGTGGGTCCTCATGATGGCTCAGGTTAGCTTGCCTGTGGAAATCCCCCAAATTGGTAGTTACTAGCTGGGAACCCACATTGGCCATCTAGTTCAAAAGAAGATTCTGGAAAAGCAATATGGAGAAAGCAGAAAAGGAAGAAGCTGCCATTTTGTTCCTCCACAAGTCTTTAGAGATGGCTTCTGTGTAGAATTACATCAGCCCCCTGTGCTTTCACGGTCCTTGGGAGACTTCCAATTCCATGTCGAAAGATAGTCAAGGCTAACAGGCCGTTAGGCAATAAATATTCATCCTCAACTCTTGACCTCGTTTCTGTGACCTCATCCTCCCATAATCAACTAGAGCCCCCTGGTGGTCAGGAGTCGCCTTCTGACTAAAGACTCTCCTCACCCAAGTGCGTTCCAGGTCCCATCCCACAGCCAGGGGCACTCGGTGGACCTCATCTTCCCAACATGCCTGGAAAAGCAGATGCAGAGCTTCTGATTCATCAGAATACAGTCACCCTGCAGGGATAGTTAAGTCTACACAGGGCATTTTTCTCCAAGACACAAAAAATGAGCTCCCCAGGGTCTGCTCTGTTCCTTCTGCCAGGTGCAAGACTTGCTCACATCTTTCTGGAAATCTCTGCAGCAAGATGTAGTGATGTTCATGGCGCTGCCTGACGTGTGCCAGCTCTTGAAGTCCTACGACACACAGCTGTACAGGGTAGGAAGATGCTGTCCATAGCCTGGGTCCTTCCTGGAGATGGACAGCAGGTGCCCAGGAGCCCGGCAGCCCGCCCACCCCTCCTGGCATGGCATCCTCCGAGGGGTGACTGGGGGGAGGGACTGTGGGCATTTTGATCTCTGTTTTAATTTCCTTACATAAAGAAAAACCCACAGCACACAGGGACCTGTGGTTCCAGTGCTGGTGATCCCTGAATTGAGCCGAAGTTCTTTCCCTGGACACTGTCACCAACGAAGACATTTAAAAATAAGCCACCACCATAACTGCTTTGGCCTCTGGGTAACGGCCAGGAGCTTGCCTGGCTCTGTTTGAAGCCTGCTCCAGAGTGACTGTCATTAAGTCTGAGAGTTAGCTATTTATCTTTCTGTCATAAAGGTGTGCTCCTTCTGTGAGTCAGTCACCAACCTTAACTTTTATTATTCTTTTAGGAACAATTTTCATGCTTCTCAACTTTTAACACAAAAGTGCAAAAGTGGGGCCTGGTGTCAGTGCTTAAATCTGTTTGGTGGCCCACCTAGGGTTGGCACTGTATTTTAAAATGTTTGAGTCAGGGGCTGCTGTGGAGTAGTTCCTTCCAGAGCCTCAGCCTAGCATGTGGGCTCAATCCCTAGGGCCAAAGAAAACAATCAGTTACAAATCAACTATTTGTAAAAAGTTCAAATTCACGTGGCAGCCCAGGGCAGTCACAGTGCCTCTCCCTCTGGCTGATCCCTTCCAACTTGGGGGACAAGCCCTGTCCCTGTCCCTCCTGATCCTTGTCACTGTGAGTCACAGCCGCTGCAGCATCGCTGAGCCACGGTGTCCTGATCCTGCTTCCCAAGGGACTTGAGGACCTTCTCCTGCGAGACTTTCTGGAGGATGTTTCTATCCAGTACCTGAAATTGGTCCGGTTATTCAGCAGGAAATTTAAGTGGTGGCTTCTTAACGCATTGGAAGGTTTCCCATCCATCTTGCAGGTCTCCAAACTCAAAGGTGAGTCCCCCCTGCCCCCCAAAAGAGATTCTTCTGTTTCTACTCCATGTGAAGCGTTGCCTCCTCCCTACAAGGCCCTGCACAGCCTTGGCTTCCTCCTCGCCCTGGCACTCTCTGCCCTGCATCACAAGGTCCCCCACTGACCCTCCAGATTGCTCACCGGCGCTGGCTGGCTGCTGGCTATAGCCTCTGAGTACAGGTTGAGCACCGATGGTCAGGAAACCCCAAGTCTGAGCACCCCACTCTCCAACACACCCCGAGTGCCAGCTCCAGGCCACACCTGACCTCTGGTGAGTCATCACATTCCAGACACAGGTGTACAGGGTGTGCTGTGGGATGACTCCGGCCACCTGTGTGTGGCATGTATGGGACATAACATACTTCGTGTTCAGGCTTGGGCTTCCTCCCCGGGACAGTGCGTCCTGTCTTTGCAAATATTCCACAGCCCCCAAAATCAGAAGTCCACAACACTTGTGGGCCACACCTTTGGGATAGGGGTGCTGAGCACTGTGCTGTGGTCCCGCGCTGCCTGGGTGCCGGCCCTGGGCTTCCCCTGGGGGCCAAGCTGCAGCTGCTGGCACAGCCTGGCCTCTCTGTGCTCCTTGGGCTCTGTGTCCTTTCAGCGCCCCAGCTAACCATCCTGCCAGCACCAAGTCCACCTCACACTTGTAAGGTCTCACCCTGGCCCACAGCCCTCCCAAGACCCCTCCTCCCCATACCTGACCTCCCTGGGCCAGCGGCTCTGGTCACTACTGGCTCCCAGGTGGCACAGGAGGGGGCCTTATAGGAGGGGACAGGGCTTGTCCTGCCCTCAGACTCCAGCTGTGTCCATCTCACGCTGGACACCCTGTTTCCACCACTTGGAAACAGGGCATGGCCAGGCAGGCAGAGCCCACAGTGGATGAGACAGCGGGGGGCTACAGAGAAAGAAGGAGAGAGAGGCTGCGCTTTCTGGAGAGGGGTGTGCAGAGGGGAGTCTCCACCCCCATTTCTTTCTCCCTGTGAACAACAAGGGTACACACAGACTCAGCAGCCCACCAGACGCCAGGATGACACCGTGCTTTGGCACACCAGGACATCCGGGGATGCGCTCTGGTGCCCAGCTCTCTGCCTTGTGTGCCTCCTCCTCCCCCAGGGCGCAGGGACCTGGGGAGAGAGTGCCAGTGATGGCCCACACTTGTTCTCCACAGAGGTCACCATGTTTGTCAAGAGACTCAGGAGGAAGACGTACCTCTCTAACATGGCGAAGGTAGGTCGCAGACCTGGCGCCAGCAGGATGGAGCTGAGGGCTCAGAAGCTGCAAGTGTCCCCAAGGGCAGGCAGTTTCTATCTGTCTGCAGGGGCCTGGCTGGCCACAGGCCAGGAGACATTGGCCCTGTGTCACCCCATAAGATGCCCACTCCTCTCCCCACCCAGCACCTGGGCAGTGTCGGTGCGGGGGAAGAAGCCAGGAACCTGGGTCAGCCACTATGAGAGGTGTAAGGGCCTCACACCACATGCTAAGACAGACAGACCGACAGACACCCCTACACACACCTGGCTCTGAGCACTTAGGGTGGCCCCACCTCCAGGTCCCTGAGCTCTGACCTCCTATGGGGTGACCATAATGCTCAGGGCTCTGGGGAGGGCTGAGGGAGGGTGGAGAGAAGGTTACAGGCACCTCTGCATCTGCAGCAGCACCGGCGGAGAGTCCCAGGCCTGCAATGCGCACCTACACCAAACGCAGACAGACTCTTCTTGGTGTGACCACACTAGCATTGTCTGCCTCGCACTGGTGCCTGGGCCATCTGGACAGATTTACAGCATGCCAGAGGACACCGTGCTGTTGATACAAGGCCCTGAGCCACCGAGGGTTGGCTCACTGTGGGGTGCTGGCCTTGGTCCTCTGTGGATCCCCAGGGACAGTTCTGACCCACACATAGCCACTGGAGAATCTGCTCTGAAATCTAAAGAGCCGTCCCATGCTTCCCCTGTGCACAGCCAGTCACCTGCTCTGTCCCCCCAGGGGCCTGGGTTGGGTGAACGATGGGCAGTTTAAGGCAGGGAGAAGCCATGGTGCCCCCAGCCTGGGTCTCACCCCGGGCAGCCAGGCCAGTCTGGAGGTGAACATTCGCATGCAGGCTGAGACCCCACAGTAGAGGATCCAGTTCAAATCTGTTTCCTTGTCCTCAGCAGCAATGACAAAATCTTGGTACTGCAGAGGGGCAGAGTCGGTGAGAGCAAACCCCACAGTGTGAGTAACCATCCCGATTCCCTCCCTGTCTCTAGACCATGAGGACTGTGCTGAGAAACAGCAGGAAGGTCAGGCTCTTGAAGTCGGATCTGCAGGCCATTGTAAACAAGGGCGCCTTGGACATCTCTGCGAAGCCCCTGGGAAGTGACCGGAGCCACGCAGAGGCTGCCGAGAGCCACCCAGAGTTGAAATGTAATCCTCCTCCCACGATTCCCCGGTCGGGGGATCCGGTGTCTACTCAGCGCTAGCTCGGGCATTAGAGCCAGTTTCTCCGCCGGGACAAATGCCATTTCCTGTGGGCTGTGCTGCTGTGTGAGCTCTCACAAGACTTTCTGGCAGGGTGACCGTGTCCTAGGGAAACCTCTGTGGCCCCGTGGCCCTGTGGCCACAGCTTCCAGGACCTGCCCAAGGATCAGACAGGGCGTCTTGCTGCTATGGGTTTCCCGGGTGAACAAATGAGCGGAGACTGACACCACCCTGTTCAGTGCTGCCACTCCACAGTACCCCTCTCCGGTGCCTCCCTCAGGAAAAACGTTTGACTTCTCTCCCCCTTGTAGACATGCAGGCTCAAGCGTCCCTTCCGTCGGGTAGGAACGGGATCAACCTGGCTCAGTGCCTGGCCTGTCCAGCCACAGCGCCAGCAGGTTGGCAGCTGCTTCCAATGTTAGTTTTATGGCCATGCAGTTTAGGGGTGTGCTCTGTAGCACCTTGCAGACAGTGACCATGAAGGGGATGTTCTTGCCGTTGGCTCTCTGGCGAGTTTAATGCTTCTAGAAGAAGAAACCACACTTCTTCTGTGAAGAGCGTGGCCTTGGCTGATGTGTGAGGTCACTTGGTGGGGGGTTCCCTGGGCATCCACAGAGAAAAGGAGCTCGGCCAACTTAGGGAAAGAGTTCTGACCCCGCCCCCAACCCCAGACAGTGGGTACCAGGAGGCTGTGGGCACCGGGCGCCTGCTTGGATGCCCAGTAACATCCAGGAGGCTCTCCTTCCAAGGGCAGAGCCCCTTCTTGGTCCTCTCCCCTGGCATAGCACTGCTTGCCTGGTCTCCATGAGCTCCTTCAGGGTGTCACCTGCATCTTTTTCCCTCAGACGCTCCAAGTGGCACTGCCACACAGCAGCCCTTCGGTATTTCTTAGCCAGGCCCCAGCAGCACACAAAAGAACCACTCAGATTTTCCCATCCTCTTCTTTGCCTTTGGAATGGGGCTGACCTTGGCAAGGCTACACCATTTATCAAAATACTGAGCCGGGTGTGGTGATGTATGTATGTAATCCTAGCACTGCAGAGGCTGAGGCAGGAGGATCACTGTGAGCTGGAGGCCAGCCTGGGCTACATAGTGAGTTCATGGTGAGACCCTGTCTCCAAAAAAGTCTTCTTTTAAAGACTGAAATGCATCCATCCTTGTTAGTAAATAGCCTCTGCCACCATCCTGTCCCTGGTACCTGTCAGCCTGCCTCTTCCCCAGTCCAGATTCCCCCCTTGACCATTCCCTGTCCCCCCAGCCCCATGATGTAAAGGTCAACACAGAACCTCACAAGCCTCAGAGCCCCCTGCAGCATCCTGATTAGTGGGAGCATCCTGCCCAGGCATCAGCTCCCTAAGAAGCCCCAGGGGGCTGCTCTGTTCCCACTGTGAGGCCCCCAGGTGCCCACCATACTGTCCGCTGACTCCCAGGGCTCCCGAGCTACTGCTGTCTGCTTCGAGAATCCTTAAGAGGCTGCAGAGTTCGGCTTGGAAAGTAGCACCCAGTGGGCATGGGCTCCAAGGTCAGAGGACATTGCACCCAGCCCTGGCCAGGCTCACCACAGCCTCCTCAGTTCTCTCCCTGGGCAGCAGAGCTCAGACAGTGGGACAGCCAGGGCTGTTTCCTCCCTCGACGCTACCTGTGCAGGTGAATCGAGACCTGGTGTCCTACACTTGCCCCTGCTGGAGTACCTTTCCATGAGCAGGGCACTCTCTGGCTTTGATGTCCCCAGTGCTGAAATGGCATTAATTACCAAGCCCTTTTGTGCAAATGTCAAGGACAGGTGAGGTCTTGTCTGTGAGCTCATCTGAAGACAGCTGTGTGGTTACAGGGCAGGGCTGTTGTCTCAAAGCCTCGTTCTCCGTCTCAACAGGTGGCAGAGCTAAGTCAGTGTGACTGAAGCTGATGGCTGCAGGGGTGACACATCCTTTGAGCTGTAGACCAGTTTGGGGGCTCTTGGGAATCCCTTTGAATTGATGTTGTTTCTTTGGTTACCTAGGAGACCAACACCCACACAGGAAGGAGGTCTGGGATCTTCTAATCCTCTCCATTTTTGTTTGTTTGTTTGTTTGTTTTTGTAGGTTTAAGCTGTTTAATTTCTTTGCTGGGAACATCAACTGATCTCAGTGTATTCCTGAATTGTCTGTCTTCAAATCTCCAAGCATTTATCTTCCAGGTACAAAGCTATGACTTCTTTATGGAAAAAAAACTGGGTGTTGGCCATTCTGGCTAAATTGTAGCCTGCAGTGCCCATTCCCTGCCCACAGGACTATGAACCAGATGACCGCAAGGTGCCCAGCCCAGCCTTAACACCCGTCCTTTGTGTGTAATGCCCAGAATTCCTTTGAACTCTCCCCTGCCCCAGGGCTGTGAGAAAGAAGCTCTCTGGCAATCACAGCATCCAAGCTGGCCTGGGCACTGGGACAGGGAATCAAGTCTCACTTCTCTGGCAAGGCAGAGAATCAGGATCAGGGTATATGATATAGGTGTGCATGTGTGTGTGAGCTTATGCATACAAGTGGGTGTGCATGTAAGGGACGTGTCTCAGTTACTTTTCTCACATTGCTGGGACAAAATGCCCAACACCCAACATAAATGAAGGAAAGATTTATTTGCTCACTGTTTGTGGAAGTTTCAGTCCATAATCAGTTGGCTCCAAGAAAGGGTGGCGTGGCACAGGAGCGGCAGCCAGAACAAAAGGGGGAAGAGCAAGCCTCTTTTCCTCCCTTATATTGTACACAGGCCACCCCACGCCCCACTCACAGTGGGGGTGTAGCACTCACACCACCTGTGTCCTCTTCCCCCACAGGCTGAGGATGTTTACAAAGTAAGAACCCTGGCTCCCTGCTGAGTCTCTTAGTTAAACTTCTAAACTGCTGGAGTTGACAGTGCATCCACCATAACAGGGTGTAGTGTGGTTAGGGGTGAGTGTGGATGTACGGCTGTGTGGGTCACTATGAGTGTGTGTTGTGTGAATGTGAGTGTGCACCATAGGACTCTGGGGAAGGAGCAGGGTCCGTCTGGGGAGAACATGTCAGCCTGGGGTTCTGCAGACACATTCTAGTACAGTGTGCCTTGACAGCAGAAACTCAGAGACGCACTCTGGGTGTGGCTCAGCGGTAGAGCACTTGCCCAGCATGTTCGAGGTCCTGGATTCGTCTCCAGCCCTGCAAAGACAAACCCAAGAGAACTCCCAAAGCTGTTGGTGGCAGCCGAGGGCGGCTCTGGGTTTGTGGCAGCTGCCTCTTGGGACTCAGTTCTACAGGGTCCTGGGCTTGCTTTTCATTCCCATGCACTGAGCTGACCTTGAAGAGCCCAGCATGGGTCCTGCAGGGTGAGATATGGGAGAGTGTGGGGGAGATGGATTTATAGAGAACCAGAGGGCAACTCTAGGGAACCAAAACTCAGGGACCAGGGGACCAGCTTTGGTGTTCTTTAGCCTCTGGCCACATTGCCTCTGGTGGGAGTGATAGCCACTTCCATATCCCTCTCACCTTGGTCTTGTCCAAATCCCTGACCTCCATAATCAGGAAAAAAGAGCAAAAATATTAACTAAATGTGGAAGACCACAGAGGACCCTGGGGCTCTTCAGAAGCTCCTGGAAAGGAACTGGGAAACAGTTTCCAACCCTCAGGTGGCTTCTGCTTCCCTCCGTAAATTCTCACAAGATAACCAGCCCAACCTGTGCGGGTGTTTTTTCTTCTGTATTGATCCAGGGCTGAGCGTAAGCCACAGTGACACATCTGAAATTGCACAGCCGATGAGACATTTACCCACCCAGTACCTAAGGACTTCCACGTCACTAATAGGAACTAGTATCATGGTTTGTCCTTGGCTTTAGACACTCAGCCCCTCACTTTAGCCAGGAGAAGCCCCCAAAGGCAGCTGTACCAATCCTGCCTCCAAGCAGCCACCAGCCCCTCTGCTTTGTAGAGAAAGTGGCACGGAATTTCCCAGGTCTCTACCACCAAGTCTGTCCCCTGCACCCATGCATCGTGTTAGAAAAATGATGTTTCTGTAAGTGCATGCCTGGAAGGGCTTGTTTTGCAAAGTAGCTTAGCCTGTTTAAAAAAATGAAAGAAAGAAAGCCAGACTTTTGTCAATAAAACACTCACACTGTTCCACAGGAGGCCTCAGGCTTGTCAGAGATGACTCATGGCCTCACTCGTAGCATCTGGCGTCTGCTAGAGCGGGAGAGGACAGCCAGCTCTGTCACGAATTTCTCACTGTTCTTGGCCCGTGCAATCCAGTCTAAAAGGAGGAGCAGGAAGTGTCTCACAGTGGAGGTGGTGACTGGGAAGTGCACTCAGCAGCCCACGGCTGTTGTCTGAACATTAGAATGTTCCTGCACAGAGGGTGAGGTGCCCAGGGCTTCGTCCCTGGTTGCCCTTGGAAAGGTTTAGTTTTTTCATAGTCTCACTATCTCTCAAGTTAACCCCCCTCAACCTCCCACTGGTCCCCAATGGAAGGAGGGTCTTCCCAGAGCCCGGGTAGTGAGTGAGACACAGAGAGGTTGTTCATGTTCCCCGGAGCCCAGGTGTGCGGGCTTTCCTCAGGGGCATAAGGGACAAAAGGCACAGGAAGGGTATCTCCTCTTGTCTGGGCAATCTTTCCACCTCTGCTTCAGAGACACCTGGGGGCCTGCCATTGAGGGGTCCACAGGTCATAAACAGAGGTCGCAGCGGCTCTGGGCATCCACGGAACACATGCACCTGGAAGTCGCAGGACCCTGTGGTTTGTAGGTGACTTCAAGTGTGGCTGTGGCTCATTCTCCACCTGGAGAAAAGAAAGAGGGTTACTTAGTCTGCACAGAGAAGTGTCTTGCTGGTACTTGGCACCCCAGTTAGTGCACCGCAGACTGCTAGAGGACTTCACTCTGCAGGACACAGGGGCAAGGACCTCCCAGTCCTGAGGTCACTTACAGGGCTCAGTGCCAGCACAGCATCTTCCCAGATAAGTGACCTTCATTTCACTGTTAGGGGACCCTGTGCTGTTTCATTATGATCAGATGTGGCGTGCCCGAGAATCGGTCTGGAAAGCCACTGACCATCTGCCAACAGCCACGGGTAGGATGGAAATCAGAAGTGAGCTAGTTCTAAAGTGGAAATGAAGTGCAAGTTTGCTGCAGAGGAGAAACATGAGCCATCAGGTCTCAGGAGAGAGACCGTGAGCTGGCTGCGCCCCAGACAGAGCAGCCAGTACCCAAAGACCCACCGCACCTACCCGGGGTCTCGGAGGAGCATCATGAACCATCCGCGGGATTTTTCCTAAGGGAACAGAGGATTTTAGAAGCCTCACTAACTGTGCAGTGACATCCAGTGGCCTTCAGCATGATTGCTCCACAGGATTTCTCAGTGGCGCTTAATAATAGAAAACCCTCAGAACAAGCGGATTGCACAGAGTTTACCTGGGAAGGAAAGGGTTCCAGGATGGTGCTGCCCTCTGAGGCACAAGGCCCGGGGAGCTCTGCCCTGCGGTGAGGCCAGAAATCAGGTAGGCGGAAGAGACGAGAGACAAGGCCCTAGAAAGAAGCTGATCATTTCAAAGCTACTTTTTTGGTAAGGATGAAAGCAAAGGTGTCTTCAGGGGAAAACTGGGCTGCTAGAGGGTTTGGCTGGTATCTCCCTCTGATCAATTCCCAGAAGGTCAGATAAACACCTCAGGTTGGGGCCAGCGACATAGAACTGTAGCGTGAGCGACCCCATTTTGCTTTGCTTCCCGCTTCCCTCCACCTACCTCGAAGGACCCCTCTCTGAAGAGGGGGGCCAAGGTTGGAATCGGCACCCCAGTCAGCCTGCCACCTTGGTTCTTATGCCTGTCGTTTATCTCCCTCTTCTCTTGTCTTCTGCGAACCTACACCCGATGTACGTGTGTGTGTGTGTGTGTGTGTGTGTGTGTGTGCTCTTGAGAACCTGCCATTCTTCCAGATTTCATCATTAAAATTGGCATTTGTTTTTCTTACAAAAAAAAAAATGGAACAGCCAAGCAAAAGCAAGGAGGAGTTTATGAAATTGGCCTCCAGCTTCCAGCTGAAGTGGAACTTCCTCCTCACCGCCGTGAGCAAAGCCATGACGCTCTGTCACAGGGACAGTTTCGGTAAGACAGAGGGTAGGGTCTCTATGCTCCGCCTTGTAACTGTGAGCGTCTTTGGGAGGTGGGACCCAAAACACAGCGAGTGCTGCTACCCACTGCCACTGGGAAGTACATGACAGCATGTCCTTTTCCTCCTCAGTCGGTGGATCTAGCATCCCGTGGCTTCTGACTCTTCCCAAAGTCAAAATAACAACGAAAGGTCAATGTTTGAATCAATTCAGCCCCAACTGCTCAGCTAAAGACCCTCAGGAGTGAGAGCTTCCAGAGCTCCTGCAGAAAGTGGCCAGGCTGATGGGATGAGTATATTCAGAGTGAGGGGAGAATTCTGAGAGGAATTCGTGGTACTATGTCTTTAGTGTAATTTTAAAAATGTAAACATTCACTGTATAGTTCTACCACACCTCGTATGTTATTAAAGGGCTGGGAATGCAGCTCAGTGGCAGAGCACCTGCCAATTGTGTGAAAGACCTTGGGTTTGATTCTGAGAACCAAAAGAAAAGAAGGAAGGAAGGAAGAGAAAGAAGGAAGGAAGGAAGAGAAAGAAAGAAAGAAAGAAGAGAAAAAGAAAGAAAAGAAAGAAAGAAAGAAAGAGAGAAAGAAAGAAAGAGAAAGAAAGAAAGAACTGGGCATAGTGGCACATGCCTATAATCCCAGCACTTGGGAGGCTGAGACAGGAGGATTGTTGCAAGTTTGAGACCAGCCTGAGCTACAAAGTGAATTCAAAGCCAGCCTGAACTGCATAGTGAGACCCTGTCTCAAAAAGACCAAAAAAAGAAAGAAAGAAAGAAAAAGGAAAATAAAGAAAGAGAAAGACAAAGGAGAAGGAAAAGGAGAAAGGAGGGAGGAAAAGGAGGAGGAAGGCGAGAAGGATGGACAAAATAGATCCCATTGATCTTCTATTGATTTTTCTATCATAAATACAGAAAACCATGCACATTAACACCTCTTCCTCCATCCTGGAAGCCGACCATGGGAAGCCCACGCTGGCTTTTGAACTGCCTACTTTGTGATGTTTTGAGAAAAGCATTGAGAGGCCACAGAAATGGAGAACTGGGGCCCACTGTTAACTCTGCAGCAGCAGGTGTTGCAGGCCTCCTGGTCAGTAGCTGGTCACCCCTGCCCCCCGCCCCCCCCCCCGCCATTGAGGGAAGCCATGTCTTTGATGAAGATGCAGCACAAAGAGCAGAGGAGGAAGAGAGTTTTCTGCAGCTTCCTGGAGCGACTCATCCATCCCCCAGACGTGTTTGTACGCTGTTCCTGGCACTGGGTGTGCAGGGGGAGGAAAGCAGGCCCCGTTTCCGCCCTGCCGGCTCACAGTCAGGTGTCTTCCCTGCCCAGAGCCTTCTGCGGCCCTGGTGACCAGCAGGCAGGGCGAGGCGGAGAAGGCAGGCCCTGTCCTAGGTCAGCTCTGCAGCCGCAAAGGTGACCCCTGCTATCCAGTGAGGCCCAAATGGACTCTGCTGTGTGCTGATCTTGTCTGGGGTGGAGGTGTAGGGCAGAGTTCATGTGCAATAGCAGAAACAAGCCTAGACCCCTGGTGGCCTTGCTGTCACAGGCTACCTTCTCTAGACCTCTGAGCTGAGTCAAGGTCCTCATGCCAGCAGATCTTCCTCTTCCTGTGGCCTGCGGTTTGCGCAGTTGGGGAGGCCAGGCCTTGGCAATCGAGGGGCCTGTGTATCTTTTTGGGCCGGTGTCCCTCCTCGACAGAAAAAGCACAGGGACAAATCATGAGAGCTTTGGAATAGGCAGGAAGACTGCTTTAAATGGGCCCAGGGCTCTGAAAAGATAATGTACAACCTAGGCTGGGTGACACATACCTGGAATCCTGGCACTCCAGGAGGCTGAGGCAGGAACATTAGCATTTCAAGCCCAGCCTGTGTAACTTAGAGACTCGGCAAGATTCTGTCTTAAAATAAAAGATTAAAAAAGAATTGAGGATGTAGCTTAGTGCAAAGATCCTGGGTTCAATCAGTACCAGGGGAACAAAGAAGATTGAGCATACCTTTCACCAGCTGTGAAAACTTCTACCGGGAGCAGCCTGCCAGCCACACGGATGCGTCTGAGTCACAGAAAAGCAAACTGTAGCAGACACAACTGATGACCACCTGACCACAGGGCTGCTTGTGTCCCTGTGTGAATCAATGTCCTGTTCTTCAGAGCCTCACACGTTCAATGCTTTGCATCCTCCTCAGGCCAACTGCAGCATGCTCTGAATGCCCTGCCTCACCAGCTCAATCGGAGCTGTGTAAGAGCCACAGGTTTACTTTCATTTAAAAATTACCTTGGAGTAATTGCAGTGGCCCAGAGCGCCTGCTCGCTTTCCCAGGCAAGCATTAAGGCTCCTCTTCTTTCCGGAAGAGCAAGAGGCATTCTGGGAACAGCGGCCAGGCCCTGGAGGATCTACATCCTCCCAGTCCTCTTGCGGGCTGCATAGGCCCTGGGGTGTGGGCTGCCGCAGAGCGGTGGGCCCCTTACCCGCCCACTGCCTGCCAGCTCCCATGTCGGCTGCAGGTATGATGCTCTCTGAGGCCATTGCTGTCACAGGGATTTCTTCACAACTTGTGTTCATTCCTGCTCACTGTTTCCACACAGGCTCCTGGCATCTGTTCCACTTGCTGCTTTTGGAGTACGTGACTCACCTGTTCCAGTCGTGCCTAGAGGAAGAAGAGGAGGAGGAGGACACGGGTATTCTCAAGGAGGCACTGCCAGGTGACCGGTCTGTCGCCCCGCCGGTCCAGGCCCTCTTCCAACCTCTGGATCCCTCGCTGCCTCAGAACTACGCATGCCCGAGCACCGGCCCACGGCAGGGGACCCTGGAGCACGGCAGCCACAGCCTCGGTCCCATGGGCATGAGCAACGTGGTTCTCTGGGTCCTGGGCTTCCTGGTGGACACTGCCACGGGCCATAAGGTAGACACCAGCACGCACGGACACTCACACACCCCACAGGGTTATTTCTGGGGAGATACAAACCACACGGTGGCTAGGAAACCCACAAAATCACGGGCTTCAACACCTATAACGGATTCTAAACCCCTCTTCACTGGCACTCATTTTTCTGGGGGTGTGAGAGTCACACACAGCAGCTTAGCTGTCACCCCTGGGCCAGCCCGGGTGTACAGTGCAGTGACAAGGGACACAACTAGGAGTCTGGAGTCGGGGTGGTGGGTCTCCCTTCCGGGACGTTCCCTGTTGGCGGGACTCACGGGGCCACAGAGCATGGCTCGCAGCTAACCTGAGCTACAAGCCGAAGGTGCTGCCGGCACCCAGAGAAAGGCAGCACCGCTGGAAAGCATTTAGAAGCTGTTGAATGGGGTTGCATCTTAAGAGATAAAAACAAGAATCAATGGGTATCCAGCACCCGCTGTGCACCCCCTAACACCGTCATGGTGGAGGTGCGTGACCCCAATTTGTTGAATATCAGTTCTCAGCACTTCCAAGGCTTATATGAGGACAGTGGGGCTCAGGGAAGCACAGGGGCGGCACAGCAAGGAAACTCGAGGAAGCGGTGGGCCGGTCATCGTCGCCTGGACCACCGCCTCTCAAGTCCACTTTCACCACGCGGCAGGTCAGAGGCCAGCAGGCGGTGCCCCAAGAACAGCAGGAAACAGGAGAGAGCAGAGATGAGGCCTCTGGTGTCAGCACAAAGAGCCAGTCAGATACAGGAAGCAAATGAAACTCCTGCACTGGGAAGGAGGGGTGGGTTGGACTTTAAAAAGTGGCCTGGTGACGCACACCTGTAATCCTAGCATTCAGGTGGCTGAGGCAGGAGGATCACTGTGAGTTCAATGCCAGCCTGGGCTATACAGAGGAGACCCTCAACAACAACCACCACCACAAAGGTGCCAGCAATTGTGTTTGCACTAATTTCTCAAACTTCAGCCATTATCCATGGTCTTCCTTCTGTGGTCACAAGTTTCCTGTTAAGTAGAGGAGTTGCATTTCATTGGAGACCATTAGAAGCAAGTGTTTCAGTGAAGGGCCGGGGATACATAGCTCAGTGGCAAAAGCACCTGCTCAGCAAACACGAGGTCCTGAGTTCAATTCCTGGCACCAAAAAAAGCAAGTGTTTCCCCATCACACACGCAGCAGCTCTCCAGCGAGCAGGGCCCAGAGAAGAAGTCACAGTTCAAAATCATCCACACCTGGAAGTCTTCAAAGTACTCAGCTCTTCCCAGGGCCCTTTGCTTCCCAGGTGAACCCTCCTTCTGGGCTTTCTGGTGTCCTGAACAAATTTACCATGCAGTACTACGGCTCAGGCAAGAGAGCGCAAGCAGGAGAGGAGGAAACGATCTCTCGGGTTTGCAGATTCCCTCTGTCTGTCTCTATTTCGTCTCTGGTTTTTCACCTCAGAATAGTGAACTCGTGTGTCCAACTGCTTTCAGTGCTGGATGTTGTTACTGGAATAAGTCTGGCTCTCGCTGCTCAGAAGCCAGCAGTTAGAGGTGACAGCTGGTCGGAGGCAATGAGATTTATTCAAGAGCTGGCATTCTGAGCCAAGTGGTCGAAGGACTTTTGTAGGGTGGGGAAGGGGAGGCAGGCACACAGCAGACATAGGGTGGACATGGGATAGGCACATGGCAAGCTCAGGCCGAGCACACGGGCACGCAGCAGGCACCCAGCTGCAGGCCAAGCGAGGCTTCCTCACTCAGGCACCGTCTCCTTTCTTCTTTTCGAAGTAAGGCGCTGGATTATGAGCCAGCTCCTCCAGCTCATTCAGGAGAGACACATTACTTTCATGCAAGTTACTCTCACAGAAGCGCACAGGCTTTCTGTCAGTTGATGGACAGCACTAAAGACTAAGAAGGGGCTTTGCAAATGTCACCAGCCTCTGGGTTCTGTACCTCTAATGAAGGATTATTTAACAGCTGCCACTCTAAGCATTGAGGGGAGGCTTCTCCATGGGGTTTAGAATACCAGGTGGGAGAGAGGGTGAAAGGAAACTGAAGGGACAGCAACCCAGGAGGGGCTGGGGGAGTGGCTCTGCCAAGGATGACACCTGGGCAGCAGCCTGGCCACAGAACATCTGCGCACGGGCTGTCACCTCCTCCGCAAGCCAGTAAAGCAGATGTGATCATCAAACATGACACAGTGATGTCCTGGGCTCAGACTGGAAACCAGAGATCCATGTGGGAGAAAAATGAATCAGCGACACCCACTGAAGCACAGAAGGGGACTCCTCGGGACCAGGTGGTGGGCTGGGGCCACAGCAGTGGACCCAGGTCCATGTGCAGCAGGGCAGCGGGCGTGTAGAGCCCAGCATCGAGGTGGGGCTCACGAGCAGGAAACCACCGAGGGTAAAGATCAGAGGCTGGGGATCCAGCTGAGCCACCTATTGGGAGTCTCATGGAAGACGAGGCAGATGACCAGCGTCCTCCAGGGCATTGAGGATGAGGAACCTGCTGGAACTTCCCTCCGTGATGATCACCATGCTTCGATATCAGCGGTGGGAGGATCTCGTTCAGCTGGCTCAGCAAGGTTCCTTCCTGAAACTGGATTCTAAGGAAGTGCGCTGATGAGCCCGGGGAAGGTTCCAGAGCCTGCCGAGTTCGGCCAAGTGGACAGTCTTGATCACTTTTGCATGCTCCTTAGTCAGCAAGAAGACCTAGAGGTAACTTTCACCCCCTCAGCCACAGTCGGGCAGGCATGCAGGGCAGCTCTGGGTCTGCAAGGTGCAGGCTTCCCTGTGACGTGGAGGTCACAGCCCTGTTTCACAGATGGCATAACTGAGGCTCGGGAAGGGGTTGAATCATTTTCCCAAGGTCAGCTCCCTAATAATTGGAGAGCAAGAATCCACATTCCCACAGATCTTCCCGGCATCCTCTCTCCCCGGAGAGCACTGTGCCATGGGCTTAATTCCAAAATCAGCAGCTTGGAGTTGGGTGATTCTCATGCATAAATTCCCGGGTCAAATTCCACCTCTTCCAGCTACTGGCTGAGACCCAGAAAAGTTCCTTAATTCAAGGAGATGATAAGGAATTCCATAGGACTGCTGTGAGTTTAAATAAGCCAATCATTGTAAAATGCTAGAAAATTCCTTAGAATGTAGTGTGCACCCACAGCCACTCACTGTAATTGTTATTTCTCCAAGGAACTCCCCCATCAGATGCCTTCCCACACTGCTCTCCCCCACCCCTGACTCCTCTGAAATTCATTACAGTGAGGCCTGACCTAAACTTGATGGAAACAATAGAAAAATGTTAAATCTACAATTGAACTACATACTAAAGCAATACAAGCAGATGAGTGACAGATAATCCGAGGTAATATGCATTAGAGATTAATTAAGCCCATTCCGTGCCTCCTGCCTGCTGAATTAGCTGTAATGACTTAAGCTGCCACCCAAGGGCTCTGTCCCTCTAATTGGTGTGGCCTTCCTTATTCAGCATTTGCAGTCATCATCAGTAAAAGCCCAGGTCCCTCTGTGCTCTTCCGCAGAGTGAAGCTGTGCTCTTCTGCACAGCTGTAACGGCTCTGCTCTGAGCCATCGGTGCTGCCCCACGCCTCGGCAGCCGCTGCAGTCAGCGTTCAGCTCCACAGCACCACATCTGTCGCTGCAGTGATGCCAACACAGGAGGATGCCAGGGCGTGCTCAGCAGTACTGTAAAAACAGTTCATGATGTTAAATATGCCTTTAAAAGTACAAACTACATTAGCCGGATGTGGTGGCTCATGCCTGTAATCCCAGCACTCAGGAGGCTGGGGCAGGAGGATCATTACAAATTCAAGACCAGCCTGGGCTACAAAGTGAGCTCAAGGCCAGCCTGAACTGCATAGAGAGATCCTGTCTCAAAAAGACAAAAAAAAAAAAAAAAAAAAAAAAAAAAAAAAAAAACTACATGGTTTTTCCATTAGATGAGGTACTGGGAACTAAATCAGAATAAAGTATTAAGAAGGAATGAGAGACAGAGAGACAGAGACGGAGAGGGAGAAACAGAGACAGATGGAGGGAGAGAAGAGGCAACGCTCCAGCCCTGGGGTGAAGTGCAGGTAATTTTCTGAAAAAGAAGACAAGTGTGTTTTCAGTGAATGGTAATGTTATTGTTGAATCTGGAGAAAGAAAAACCTACTTTGGTGAATCTTGACACCAGTGTTACACTGCGAAAATCTTTGCCGAAATATGTCAGCTTATGGAGGATTTACCGATGACATCAGACAAGAGAATTCATTTCTACTGGTTTTAAAGTCTTTGTATGAAAGGTGGATGAGTCTTCCCCATTCTCCCAGAGCCGGGACGGGTCGAAGACTGCCCCTGGTCCTCAGGCAGCTTACCTGAGAGGTGGCAGGAAGCTTAATCAGAAGCTGCGAACCTCTGGGGTCTGCTACTCCCTAAGGGAGCATCACTCTGGCAGGCTCAGTGGCCACTGCTGCTTCCTCCCGCCCAGCCACTTCCGAGGGTCGAGTCTATATGGCAGCTAGAGAGGCCTGCATCAGCTCCAGGGACCCAAAGGAACGCGGGGCTCGGTGTCCATGTGGGGAGGCGGCCACCCGAGACCCACGGACATCAACTTGACCCTCTCCAGATGTGTACAGCTGCTGCGTGTCCTCTATATCCGTCTGCAAGCAACCCACTGTCTCCTCTCCCCTGCTCTCTTGCCCGCCCCAGGATGGCACTACTTTCATGCTGTCCTCTCCAGACCTGGGACATTCCCTGGGACTTGAGTGTCCCCAGGCAGGGCCAAGGACAGGTGGATGAGTTCAAAGGGCAGCCCCTGGAGCTTTCTCTCTTACCTTTTCCTTTTAAACCTTTCTGCCCTGCAGTGTATCCAAGTCTTGCTGGAAGACAAGGCCACCAAAAGCACCATGAGGTTCAGCCTTCCCGTGGGAGAAGAAACCCTTGTGAGCCTGACAGATGGACGGAGGTTCATGATTCACACATCCGATGTACCCTGAGCGCAGAGAAAGCAATGCTGATGTGAAAAGTGGTTAAAAGTATATTAAGTTCTAAAGCTTTTATGTTGCTATGGGAAAAAGTTTTATGTATATATTAGAGGTAGCATGTTATGTTTGCATTTATTTCGAGGAGTTGGTATAAACTGATTTAGAGAATAATTTTTGTCTCTATTGCTTTTCTTCTGGCCCTTCCCACATGTTTCTATTTTGGGAGCTGAGGAGAAATTTGAGAACTCTTGTTAGGAATAAAAATGGTTAAGTCTCCAGAGAAAGATAAAATTTGAAAGACAGAAACTGGCACAAACCACGGAATACCAATGGAAATGCTTTTCTTCCTCTTGATAATGACTCAATGGAAACAAAATTTGTAGAAAGACCCCCTCAGGCAATGAGGAAGAGAAAACATTCAATCTAATAACCCTGTCGTTCTCATTCTCTGGTACATTAATCGCCTTGGTTCACCACCCTGACTTCCTTAAAGCGGGGTAGAATTTTGAGTGCAAAAATGTCCACCATGAACGTGGATGTCCTGTTTCGAATCACCTTTTATTTCCCTCTTTGAAGCAAAACCCTAAAAATGTTGGCTCAAGAACAAATCATTGTTGTACCAGACCCACTTTTATGTAACTGCTTATGACATTTAAAAGGAATTTAACAATGTATGCTTAACGTGATTCCTGGCGTAAATGAGGAGAACAGAGACTATTTTATTGATCTCGTATTACAGATGAAATGAACTCACCTTCTCATATGAAATGGATTAGACTTACCTACAAAATCGATTTAATTTCCCTAAATGCTTAGAAATTTTAAAGAAGCATAAGAATTGTATGCCTGAAGGTTCATTGAGAATTATCCCTCTTTCTGGTTAAAGAAGCAATTATCTGTGAGCTTCTACAATCCCATTCCCCACTGTCTAGAAGGAGCAGCTCCTGGTCAGTGTGCTGGGGGCTTCTCCGGGTGATGGGCGCCTGACCCTGAAGGTCATCTGTTTGCACACAAGGAAGCAGACAGTCCACAGCCTGAGTCAGAACAAAATCAACAACAGAATAATGCGTCTGGCTTGTGTATTTTGGGGTAAACTGGTTAGGTAAGAGCTGGCAGAGGTCACCTGGAGGTGTTGTCCTTGAATGCTCAGGTTTATCAGAGAGCAATTCCAGCTGTTCATCTGCAGGACTGGGCATCAGGATTCGAGGTGATGGCAGGGATTTGGGAGGGGCTCTGCAGGTGTTGCAATTTTTTTTTTTCATTTTTCAAATCTGGGGATGGAATCCAGGGCTTCGCACCAGCTAGGCAGGCGCTCAGCCCCTGAGCTGCACCAGCGGCCAGAACTGTGGGGATTTTTATTGTTACAGTTTCTTTCTAAACCATTCTAGCCAGGAGGCAGATAGGCACTCTGTAGGAGGTCCTTGACCAGGTGCAGGTAGAGAGGAGAGTGACAGGAGGGGACACAGGAGAAGGCGGAGCAAAAACAGACTCCCCAAGGGAAAGGTGAGGGGAGGAGAGAGGACCCCATCCACTCCACCTCTGAGCCACACCCCAGCCACTTCTCTGTACCCTGCCTCTGCCCTTCCACCCCTCCACTGTAAGCTGAGGCAAGAGGACAGGCAGGGAGCGCTCTCTGCTGGAAAAGCACTTTTGAATACTAAATGCTGATAGCACTAAGCATGTTGGGTATCACACTGGGACAGATGCTAATGACTGAACAGAGTCCTCTATTATTTGTAGACAAATGAGAACAGGAAATCTTCCTTTCCTTCACCCCTAAACCTCAACCTTAAATTTTTACCTGAGAGGCAGAAATACTTGGCAGAGCAGATTATAAAAAGATTTTCTTTTTCTGACAGTCATGGTAGCCCACACCTGTAATCCCAGCACTTGGGAAGCTGAGGCAGGAGGATTGTTGCAAGTTCGAGACCAGCCTGGGCTACAAAGGGAGCTCAAGGCCAGTCTGAACTGTATAGTAAGACCTTGGCTCAAGAAGCCAAAAAAAAGAAATTATTTTCTGCTTGTACCATCGATTGGCAGGTGGGTAGATATTCAATATTTATAATAGCTTTTGACCAAATCCTCTCTTGCCCATGCAACCCCCTCAGGACCCATGCAGTTAGCTACATTCCTAGACCATATTTTATTCTTTATTTTGAGTTGGTGTCTGGGCTGGGCTGGGCTTACATTTGTGATGCACCTGCCTCCAGGTCCCCAGCAGTTTCGGGGCAGCTGGCTGCTCTGGGGCAGCACTGGCTGGGAACCCGGGCTGAGCTCCACATGGCTCACCCACTCCTCCCACAGGCTCTTGCGTGCTCATGCTCAGGGCAGAGGGGCTCCCAAAGCAGTGTAAGTGGAGACCCGACACAGTCCTTGCCCTCACTTGCATGCAGTGTGTTCCCGGGCCATGCACCTGAGCACATCCAAGCTCCAAGCTGCCCACGGGAGACCCAGGGAGGCATCATCAGCCCACCCCACTACACTCAAAAAAAGGCCTACACCACTGGCCCCACTGTCCTATTGGGGAGACTTCTATAGTGGCTATGACCCACCCAAGGCCATCAGGGCCACAGCTCCTCCTCAGGGACAATACCTCAGGGCTATTCTACCTGCCATGCAGCTGGGTGGGAAAGAGGTATCTTGGGGTGCACAGGGGAAACTGTGCTTCCTGAAACAGCAGTGTGAACTGGGAATACCAGCAGGGCTCCCCAACGGAGCACCACTGACTGTAAGCATGGGACACATCTCCTCTCTCCTCAGGTAAAAATAGCAACACCATGCAGATTCCAGAACATGAATTTCACGCACAAGATAAACTGGAAGCCCACTCACATTCTAGCAGGAGACAGATGCTCCAGAAACAGATAGCTGATCTAGAATCTATAACAGTGTGTTCCAAGATGGTTTGTCAGGTATTCACTCTATTACCAGGTATGCTTGACACATTGGGGGCTGGCTGAGTATAAGTCCCTGCTCTGAGGGAACTCAGGTTCTTGGCAGGGGGAGGCTGACTCTGCGCTCTTCAACAATTAAAAGCAAAATATCAGGTGGGCATGGTGGTACATGCCTGTAATCCCAGCACTCTAGGAGGCCAAGGCAGGAGGATCGTTGCAAATTCAAGAATCGCTCGGACTACAAAGTGAGCTCAAGGCCAGCCTGAACTGCACAGTGAGGTCCTGTCACAAAAAGACACAAAAATATCTCACAGCAATGAGTCTTGGGGACAGTGACACACAGCAGCAATGAGAAGGGAATGTGGCTTCTTAAATGCATTCAAACAAAGCCCCGTTCACAGGTGAATGTGGAAAAAATGAGGAAAGGAGGAGAGGGGAAGATGTGAGAGCTCCGGAGGGCAGGGGAGGGGCTAAAGGAGGAGGAACCCTGAACTGAGTTTTCAGTGTTGTTTCTGAGGGTAGGCCAGGCTGGGCTGTTAGAACCCGCTCATCAGCTGGGCCCAGTCCATGCCCTGCAGAATGTATGTTAAAATTATCTTCCTAAAGGCTCAACACTCTCGCGTGAGAGAGTGGTCACGAGCTGTGTCACACACTGCGGTGGCTGCTTCCCCCAGCCCCTGTGAACTGGAGCTTCCGTTTGGGTGATACCAGGGTGAAAAGGACAGAAGTCCCAGGTCAGGACCCCCCTACTTGAGACAGCCTCTTCCCACCATCGAACAGCCCCGGGGTCACCCTCCGGGTGAGGGCAGCCTGCCCTGCTGCCCCGGAAGGGGACAGGAAAGTTGCTGGGCTTGTGGGAACGGGCAGCTGTCCTGGGAAACTGACCAAAAGCTTGCCCTGGGTTACAGCTTTTTGAACTGATATTTTTTCTTTTTTAAGATCTGCGTTACATAAAACCCTCTTCCATTTAACACGCATATTTAGAATATTTAGAACTGTGTAACCATCACTATGATCTAAATTGAAAATCTTTTCATAACCAGAAAAAACCCAAAAGCCACTGCAGCCGCACCCTTCCCGCTCTCTCGGTCTCTGAGAAGTGCTCCTTTAGGTGACCGCTCCTCACTGGACAGACACCACATCTTACTGTCACTCATCACTTCATGGACACTTAGGTGGCTTCCACCCGATGGCTGTCATGAATAGTGCTCTCTAACCCTTGGGTTCCTATCTAGCAGTGAAATTGCTGGCTCCCGTGGTAACTCTGCCTGCAGAGGAAAGCCAAATTTCTCTCCAAAGTGCCTGTACCATTTTATATTCCCATCGGGAATGTGGACGGATCCAGTTTCTCCACACTTTACCAATGGTTATTACCTGCCTTGTTAAATCATAGCCACCCAAGAGCACATGAAGTGGAATTTCACTGTGCTTTTGATTTGCATTTCTCTCAGGACAGAGGTTGGGACCTTCCTATGAGTCGACTGGCCACTTGTGTACCTACTTTGGAGAAATGTCTGTCCATATCCTCTGCCATTTAAAATTGAATTATGGCCTTGATATAAAATTATAAGTGACCTTTGTATATTTTGATAGAAGTTGCTTGTCAGACACACAATTTCCAAATATCTCAACTGCAAATATTTTAGTGTGCCTATACAACAGAATTTTTTACCTAGCCACACTTAGTAAGAGAAATATTGTCTAATATTTAGTGTTATTACGTGTTTTGCCACACTTAATAAGAGAAATATTATCTAATATTTAGTCCATGTCAACAAAGAAGAAACATCAGAAATGAACCAAACAGAAATTTGAGAACTGAAAAATACAAGGACTAAAAAAATTTCATTTAGAGAAGTTCAAAGCACTTGCTCAGGCGGACAAAAGAATCGGCAAACTTGAAGGCAGATCAGTTGAAAGTATCCAGTCAGTGGGGGAGAAGGAAGATGAATGAAAAAGCAAAAAGAGAGGGCACGGGTCTCACAGGACACCGATAAGAGGAGGTGGCAGGAGCACCGTGAGCCGGGTGCAGTGGCACACACCTGTACCCCATTTTCTAGGAGGCAGAGGCAGGACCTTTGAGAGTCCTGGACAGCCTGGACCACACAGTGAGTTCAAGGTCGGCATGGGCTGCACAGCGAGCAAGATTTTCCTCCAAGGAAACAAAGTCAGATGCAGTGGCCCACGCAGTAACCCCAGAGAGGCCGGGCAGCCTGGAGACTTAGTGAGACCCTGTCTCAAAAAATGAAAAATAAACAGGCAATGTAACCTGGTAGG